TATATGTATATATGTATGTGTGCATGTATATATATGCATATGTGTATATGGATATATGTGTATGTATATGTATGTATATATAAGTGTATATTGTGTGCATGTGCATATATATATGAGTGTATGTGTATATGTATATAGTGTATTTTGGGGTTTTTAAGTCTGTTCCGCTGGGGTTTTGTGTGTGTGTGTGTGTGTTTATGGGTGATGCACACTCGTTGGACTGTTAGGTGTATTGTGTCCAAATTTCGTGTCAATTCATCCAGTGGTTTTTGAGTTATGTTAATCCCACAAACGAACATTACATTTTATTTATATAGACTTATTATTATTATTATTATTATTATTATTATTATTATTATTACAAATTCCAGGATACCATAAGCATTGAGCCATGGTAATTAAAATGATGTCAAGCCGCATTCATTCTGCACTGGAGATGTATCCCCCAGTGATGGTGGTAGAAGAGGAGCTGAAATCGATTTTTCTAAACTATTTCTTCAACCCACCCAGGTTCTTGTGGTTTGCTGGAACGATTTTAACAAATCTCCGTGTTTCTCTTCAGCTGCCCCTCCAGGACAAATAGAAAGAACTCCTCTCTTCCATTTACTTCTCCAATTACAATGCAAATGTCTCTTTTTTGACATGCAAGATTGATGCCACTTTGACTTTTTGTGTGTCAGGAGCGACTTGAGAAACTGCAAGTCGCTTCTAGTGTGAGAGAATTGGCCGCCTACAAGGACGCTGCCCAGGGGACGCCCCCGGATGTGTTACCATCCTGTGGGAGGCTTCTCTCCTGTCCCCGCATGGGAAGCTGGAGCTGACAGACGGGAGCTCACCCCGCTCCTATTTCAGTCCTACCCAATGCACTCCTACGACTTTGACTGCCATGGCTCAAGGCTATGGGATCCTGGGAGATGTAGTTTTCCAAGGTCTTGAGCCTTTCTCTGCCAAAGAGCAGCGGTGCCACATACCCACAAACACACCTCCTAAGTTCTTCCTCCTGAGAGTGGCGACGGAAGCCAAATGGACATCTTGAACTCTGCACATGCTCAGAACAGATACGTTTGGGGGAAAAACGAAATCCCAATTAGCCAACGTTTGTGCGGAGGAGGGGTGCTTTGGGGGCTCTAATAGGTCAGGGAGATCACCAGGAAAGCCTGGAATAACATTTTTGCCGGGGAGATGAGATGTCCGAAAGGAAAGAAAATAATAATAATAATAATACTATTGGGCTCTTCTCAAAATCGTGGCTCTGGGATCTGAAATTGCCCAGAAGCGCATTGCCATTGGGTTCTTCATTCCAAAACAGGACGGAAGTGACTTCGAGAATGTATATGTATATACGTATATACGTATGTGCGTATGTGTGTGTAGATAGATAGATAGAGATACAGATAGATAGATAGATAGATATATCTAGATGTATCCCTAGTGATTTTAGAACTGCATTATATATGTGTGTGTGAGAGAGAGTGAGTGAGTGTATACATACACACATGCATATACATTCTCGAAGTAATTTCCGTTCTGTTTCGGAATATATGTGTGTGTGTGTGTGTGTGTAGATATATGTAGATATCGAGATTTATCCCCAGTGATTTTTGAACTGCATTATATCTATATCTATATCTACTGTTCTGTTTCTTTGTGTGTGTGTGTGTCTTTATGTATATGTGTATATATGTATATGTGTGTGTGTGTGTGTGTATAAATTGAGATATATCCCCAGTGATTTTTGAACTGCTATATATATACACGTATAAATATATGTATATACATATATATTCTCTAAGTAACTTCCGTTCTGTTTCTCTCTGTGTGTGTGTATATGTATATGCATGTGTATATATATATGCGTGTATGTATATGTATATAGGGTTGTTGTAGGTTTTTTCGGGCTATATGGCCATGTTCTAGAGGCATTCTCTCCTGACGTTTCGCCTGCATGTATGGAAAGCGTCCTATATATACACACACACACATATATATCCCCAGTGATTTTTGAATATTCTCGAAGTAACTTCCGTTCTTTTTTTTTGTGTATGTGTGTGTATATACACACATGTGTGTATATATAGGTGTGTGTATGTATATGTATATATTGAGATGTATCCCCAGTGATTTTGAATATTCTCGAAGTAACTTCCGTTCCTTTTTCTCTGTATGTATGTATGTATGTATGTATGTATGTATGTATGTATGTATATATGTGTGTGTGTGTGTGTATGTCTCCCTGTGTGTGTGTATATATATAGAGAGAGATGTATCCCCTGTGATTTTTGAACTGTTATATGTGTGTGTGTATACACAAATACATACACATATATATACTCTAAGTAACTTCCGTTCTAAGTTCTTGTGGGTTTTTTCGGGCTATATGGCCATGTTCTAGAGGCATTCTCTCCTGACGTTTCGCCTGCATCTATGGCAAGCATCCTCAGAGGTAGTGAGGTCTGTTGGAACTTCCGTTCTGTTCCTCTCTGCGTGTGTATATGTGTGTATGTATATATGCATATGAATATATATAGAGATGTATCCCCAGTGATTTTTGAACTGCACTATATACACACTTTATACACGCGCGCACACACACATACACACACACACATTAATAAATCTTCAAATCGAGGAGCACCCAATGAATCCCCCTTTCCCCACCAGATCATAGCAAAGGTCCTCCTTTTTCAGTGCAGAAGCCTTAGCATCTCTGCTTAAGTAAAGGAAACGGGAGTAAGAGGAAAGTGATACGAACCCGGTTTAATTGTGCAGTGGGGATGTATCCCAAATTGAAGTGGGGCGCTTCCAAAGCATCACAATGTAGGTATCCACCTAATACACAGATGCTGGGGAAATGACCCGTTTGAACGACCAACCCTGAAATGTCCATGTTGGGATTTTAGGGAATCAATCCCGCCTTGGCTAAACGTCCAAATCTCAGTATATTGGTAATGAAACATCCAAACAACGGGAGCCTAAATAAATATGCAGTTGTGGGTGGCATCTTGGGATAGAAATGCAGCAAAGGAATCAATCCTAGCTTCTCCTCTGCTTTTGAACAAATCTGGCGAAGGAAAGCCTGAAAGGGTCGCCATAAATTGGAGTTCAGTGCCTTTATATGGCAGGAACTCCATATTCACCTTCAGTGAATTGCCTTGGTTGGTTTGCCATGCCAACCCTGCTCCAAACCCTCCACAACATTCCCAGGCAGACTATTCTTCTGCTGAACAACTCTTAAGGTCGAGAAATATTCCCTAATCTTTTCATGGAATCTCTTTTCCTGCAGTTTGAATCCATTGCCCCATATCTGTCTCTGCAGCAGCAGAAAACAAATCGGTTTCATCTTCCCTATATTTCGAATGGGTAAAACATGGCTAACCATGTCTACTCTCGGGCTTCTCTTCTGCAGGGTTAACAACACCCTCAGCGATCCCCAATGAGAGACAAAGGCAGGGAAGAAGAAGTAAACAAGAAGTCCCAAGTAGAACCATCCTGATATCCTGATGGCCTTGATAGTCCTCAACACCAAGGCAAAACCTACTGGTTTCATAAGTCTGACTGTCCTCTTTTGACCAGATCATGAGAAAAGATGCCTCACTAGAAAAGGTGATTATGTTTGGAAAGGTGGGTGGGAGGAGGAAAAGAAGGTGATGGTGTGACAGATGGAGAGGAAGAAACACTAGAGGTGCATCTCCACTGAGGAATTCATGCAGTTGGACACCACTTGAACTGCTCAATGCTATGGAAACCTGGGAGCTGTCAAAGGTGTCTATCACAGGCATGGGCCAACTTGGGCTTTGGACCTCAACTCCCACAATTCATAACAGCCTCGGCTCCTTTCTTAACCTTGGGAGCTGTCTAAAGGTGTCTATAACAGGCATGGGTCAACTTGGGCCCTCCAAGTGTTTTAGACTTCAACTCCCACCATTCCTAACAGCCTCAGGCCCTTTCCTAACCCTAGGAGCTGTCTAAAGGTGTCTATAACAGGCATGGGCCAACTTGGGCCTTCCAAGTGTTTTAGCTTTCAACTCCCACTATTCACAACAGTCTCAGACCCTTTCCTAACCCTGGGAGCTGTCCAAAGGTGTCTATAACAAGCATGGGCAAACTTGGGCCTCTAAGTGTTTTGGACTTCAAATCCCACCATTCCTAACAGCCTCAGGCCCTTTCCTAACTTTGGGAGCTATCTAAAGGTGTCTATAACAGGCATGGACAAACTTGGGTCTTCCAAGTGTTTTGGACTTCAACTCCCACCATTTCTAACAGCCCTTTAGATAACGCTGGGAGCTATTTAAAGGTGTCTATAACAGGCATGGACAAACTTGGCCCCTCCAAATGTTTTGGTGTTCAACTCCCACTATTCCTAACAGCCTCAGGCCCTTTCTTAACCCTGGGAGCTATCTAAAGGTGTCTATCACGGGCATGGGCAAACTTTGGCCTTCCAAGTGTTTTGGACCTCAACTCCCACCATTCCTAACAGCCTCAGGCCCTTTCTTAATCCTGGGAGCTATCTAAAGGTATCTATAACAGGCATGGACAAACTTGGGCCCTGGACTTCAACTCCCATCATTCGTAACAGCCTCATGCCCTTTCCTAACTCTGGGAGCTATCTAAAGGTGTCTATAACAGGCATGGGCAAACCTGGGCCCTCCAGGTATTTTGGACTTCAAGTCCCACCATTCCTAACAGCCTCAGGCCCTTTCCTTTTCCCTTTCCTGGTCAAAGGAGGAAAAAGGAAAGGGCCTGATGCTGTAAGGTATGGTAGAAGTTGAAGTCCAAAACACTTGGAGGGCCCAAGTTGGCCCATGCCTGGTCTGTAAGCACACTTGGCCACATACACGTACAAGATAGTGATTGGCTGGCCCACTCAAAGATCTACCCCTCTAAGCAGGAATTAATAGCCAAGCCAAAGAGCCGGTGCCTTTCCCCCAACCTACCTCTCCACCTCCCCAGTTTGCACCCCTTTTAATTCCCCCAAAACCTTTTAGGGAGTCCCTTCTTACCATGCTGGGCTGACCAAAGCGCGCTCAGTATGCAAATCAGCCGGGCTGGCCTCGCCCCTTTGCTGGAGGGAGGAGGGAAGAGGGAAAGAGTTTGGTTTGCTGAGATCCTTTTTCCTCCCACATCTCTTCCTCCTCCTCCTCTCCTTCTTCTTCTTCTCCTCCTCTCGCTCCGGTTTCTCTCTTCTTTCTTTCTTCCCTCGCTTCCTTCCCTCCCATCTCCGCCCCGCCTCCGGATCGACGCCCCTCCAAAGTTGCCTCCTGCCCCCCCTTTTAATAGCCAAAGGGAGGGAGGGCCATGTTTTATTATTTACCTCCGAGGGGCTGAGCTGTCAGAGGAAGACGGAGGAGCCAGAAGCAGAGAGACAGGCGCCTCAAGGAAGAGGAAGAGGAGGAAGAGGAGGCAACAATCTCCTAAATTATTATTATTATTGGAAGGAAGCGGGAAAGGAGAGCTTTCCCCGGCGATGCTGGCGAAGGAGGAGAGGAAGAGGAGAGGATCCGGGGTTTCTCCTGCCGAGGAGGAGGAAGAGGATCGGGTCCTTTGAGAGGCGAGGAGATTGAGAAGCGACTGCTTCAAGCCTTTCCTCAGGAGAAAGAGAGAGTCCCAAGAAGTTCGGGCTCGAAGACCGAGCGGAAAAAGGAGAAGCAAAGCGCCAAATTAGAGGAAGCTGGAGGGCTGAATCGAGGGAATCTGGACAACCCCAAGACCCGCATTTTCCCTCTGGACTGGTCTGCTTTCCTCTCTTCTCATCCCAAAACCAAGAAGGGAAGAAAGGAGGAGCCGAAGCCAAGAATCTGGACCCCTTTCCTTCTGTCCTCTCCCTTCTTCGCGTCTTTCGTAGCTTCTTTCCTTCCCCCTCTTTCCGAAAACCCCATTTCCTCGCTCCTTTAATTCAGAATGCCACCTCTAACCGCTCTTTCTTTTTTGTGTGCCCCTTGTTTCTTTTTAATCTAAAGGGACCCCTTTTTTATTGTGAGAGGAAGGCGAATTAACAGGCTTGGAGGGAAAAGAACGAATGAGAAGGTAAACACAACTTTCCCTCCTGGAGACCGCTTTCGAATACTACTCCCGCAAAAGAGATTCCGACTTTCCATTCTTTGGGTCTTTCTTGCAGCCCCCCCTCTCGTCCCCAAACTCTCCCCAAGTTCCCTCCTCCCTTCTCTCTATTCTCTCACAAAGTAGGGGCGTCTCCTCCCCTTTTTCCCCCGAGAGAAGAGAAGCCAATCCTTCCCCTTTCCCTTTCCTCTGTGCCCACTGTCCTGGAGGACAAGTGAGGTCTCCTTCCTTCTATCCTCCTTCTATTCTCCCCCTGGAGTCCTGAAAACCCCCTCCCCAAATCCAGACACCCTTCTGGGGAAGGGCAGCTCAAGAAACGCTCCCTTTTCCCTCCCTTAAACCCTCTCAATCCCATCTCCTCTCCTTGGACGCAACCTTGTTGGTTCAAGACAAGTGGGATCTCTCTCCTTCCTTCTCCTTCAGCACTCCGAGTGGAGTCCTGAAAGTCTCCTCCCCAATCGAGACACCCAAGAAACTCAAGAAACGCTCCCCTTTCCCTCCCTCAAACCCTCTCCTCTCCTTGGACGCCTTCGAAAGCTAGAACTGGGCTTGGAGACTGGAGCAGCACCCCCAAATCCATCTTATACCCATCCAGCAGACCCCTAAATCCACTCTGTACCCAGGATCAGACCTTGATGCTGGTGCGGCACCCCTAAATCCACTTTGGACCCAGAACTGGGTCCCCTGATTGGCGCAGAGCCCCTAAACCCACTCTATATCCAGGGCAAGAGCTTGATGCCGGCTCAGCGCCCTTAAAGGAAGGCTTTCCTCTCTCTTTTCCCTGGCATCTCTCTCTCTCCTTCTATCTTTCTTCAGCTCTTCGAGTGGAAAGCCCCCTCCCCAATCCGAACACCCTTCTGAGGGGGACAGCTAAAAAAACGCTCTCCTTAAACCTTCTTAATCCGATCTCCTTTCCTTGGACGCTTTCGAAAGCTAGAATTGGGCCTGGAGACTGGAGCAGCACCCCTAAATCCACCTTATTTCCACCCAGCAAACCCCTAAACCCATTCTGTGCACAGGACCAGACTTTGCTGCTGGTGTGGCACTTCTAAATCCGCCTTAGAGCCAGAACGGGGTTTCCGGGTGGGCGCAAAGTTCCTGAACCCACTCTGCATCCAGGACCAAGCCTTGATGCTGGTGTGGCACCCCTAAACCCGCCTTATAGCCAGAACTGGGTTTCCGGGTGGGCGCAGAGCCCCTAAACCCACTCTGCATCCAGGAGCAGACTTTGGTGCTAGTGTGGCACCCCTAAACCCACTCTGTAGCTAGAATTGGGCCTGGAGACTGGAGCAACACCCCAAAATTCACCATATATCCGCCCAGCAGACCCCTAAACCCACTCTGTGCACAGGACCAGACTTTGCTGCTGGTGTGGCACCCCTAAATCCACCTTATAGCCAGAACTGGGTCTCCGGGTGGGCGCAGAGCCCCTCAAACCACTCTGCACCCAAGCTTTGATGTTGGTGTGGTTGCCCTAAATCCACTTTACACCCCGAACTGGGTGGGCGCAGAGCCCCCCAAACCACTGTGCATCCAGGACCAGACCTTGATGCCGGCTCAGCGCCCTTAAAGTAAGGTTTTCTTCTGTCTTTGGCCCCCCAAAGCCCCTTCCTCCGGAGGCCCTTCTTTCCCTGGCCTGGCTGGGCCCTCCGGCCTGGGGATGCTGGCGGTGGGGCCGATGGAGGGCAGCCCCCGGCCCAGCGCCTTCCTGCTCAGCAGCCCGCCCTTGGCCGCCCTGCACAGCCTGGCCGAGATGAAGACCCCGCTCTACCCCGCGGCCTATGCGCTGCCCAACCCAGCGGCCAGCGGGCCTTCCTCCTTGTCCTCCTCCTCCTCGCTGTCTTCCTCTTCCTCCTCCTCCTCTTCCTCGGCCTCGGCCTCCCCGTCTCCCCCGCTGTCCTCCCCGACGCCCCCCGTGCTCCTGAAGAGCTCCCCGGCGCAGCACCAGCACCATCACCAGCACCCGCCCCTCCTCGGCGCCGCCGCCACGCCGCACGGCATCAACGACATCCTCAGCCGGCCCTCGGTGCCCGCCTTGGCCTCGGTCTCCTCGACGGCCTCGCTCTCCTCGTCCTCGGTCTCCTCCTCGTCGTCTTCCTCGGTGGCCCTGGCGGCCTCCACGGCGGCGGGGCTCCTGGCGGGGCTGCCGCGCTTCTCCAGCCTCAGCCCGCCCCCGCCGCCGCCCCCTCCGCCGCCCCCAGGGCTCTACTTCAGCCCCGCCGCCGCCGCCGCCGTGGTGGGCCGCTACCCCAAGCCCCTGGCCGAGCTGCCCGGAAGGACGCCCATCTTCTGGCCCGGAGTCATGCAGAGCCCGCCCTGGAGGGACGCCCGCCTCGCCTGCGGAGCCCGTGAGTACTCAGGCAGGCAGGCAGGCAGGCGGGCGGGCTGGCCATCTGTCGGGAGGGTCCGGCTGGATGGCCTTGCGGGATCCCTTCCAACTCTGCCCATCTGTCGGGAGGGTCCGGCTGGATGGCCTTGCGGGGTCCCTTCCAACTCTGCCCTTCTTAGGGCCCTTCCACACTGGCAGAAAATCCCACAATACCTGCTTTGAACTGGAAGATATGTCTATGTGGACTCAGATAACCCAGTTCAAAGCAGATATTATATTATTTTCTGCCTTGGGGGCTCGGGGTTATCTGAGTCCACACTGCCATATATCCCAGTTCAAAGCAGATCATGTGGGATTTTATTCAGCTGTGCCCTACACTCTATTATTAAATCCGGATTATCTTCTGTGAACATGATCATCTAGCAGTGTAGACTGCACTGTCATATTAAATCCGGATTATCCGATTTGAACAGGATTATCTAGCAGTGTAGACTCCATTGATTTATGAATTCTGGATTATCTCCTTTGAACAGGGTTACCTAGCAGTGTAGACTCCACTGCCATATTAAATCCGGATTATCTTCTTTCAACAAGTTTACCTAGCAGTGTAGATTCCACTGGCATATAAAATCCGGATTATCTACTTTGAACAAGATTGTCCAGTGTAGATTGTAGATTGTCCTCTGCCATATAAAATCCGGATAATGTGCTTCGAACAGGGTTATCTAAGTAGTGTAGACTCCACTCCCATATTAAATCCAGGTTATCTTCTTTGAACAGTATTATCTAGCTGTGTAGATTCCAACCCCATATAAAGTACAGTTTATCTGCTTTGAACAGGATTATCTAGCAGTGTAGACGCAACTGCCATATAAAATACGGATTATCTGCTTTTAACAGGGTTATCTAACAATGTAGACTCCACTCCCATATTAAAATTCAGATTATCTACTTTGAAAAGGGTTATCTGTTAGTGTAGACCAGGCACGGACAAACGTCGACCCTGTAGGTGATTTGGACTACAACTCCCAGAATTCCTAACAGGCTCCCTACCGGCTGTTGAGAATTGTGGGAGTTGCAGTCCAAAACACCTGGAGGGTCGACGTTTGCCCATGCCTGGTGTAGACTCATATAAACCAGTTTGAATCAGATAATCTGGATTATATGGCAGTGTAGAAGATCCAGCCTGACTCTTTTAATCTATTCTGCAGAATTAAAGTTTGCCCCTACTTTAACTAATGCTAGGGGACGCTGGGATTTGTAGTTCGGTGAGAGGTTGGGATAAATGCAGCGAGAGGAACTGCTTTGGCTCAAGGCTATGGAAAATGGGAACTGTAGTTTACCGACATATTGTCCACACTGGCGGGGGGAGCACAATTTGACACCAATGTCATGGAAAATGGGAGTTGTAGTTTATTCAGATATTGCGTGTGAATTTAATGCAGGCCGACACCACTTTCTGCCTTGACTCAAGGCTGTGGCATCATGGGAGTTTAGTTTCCCAAATCTTCCCTGCCCTCTCTGGCTGGTGCTCACCAAACTACAAATCCCAGGAATGTCAGGAAGTGTCAAACTAAATTCCTTCTCCAATATATGTTCTCCAGAAGGCCCTTGGTGTCTTCTCAGTGTTGTTGTATTTCCCTCCAAGTAGGGTTCCCTATAAACCGGAAGTGGGGAGTTGTAGTCCAACAACATCTGGAGGGTCCCTTGCCAGACTTCCCCCATTCTTCCTATTATATCTAGGACCTTTTTTGGCATCTACACTGAGAAACTGATGCAGTTTGCCACCACATTTAATGCCATGACCCAGCCCCACGGAATCATGGGAGTTTAGTTTTGCAAAACTCTTCCAGAGTGCCTCACCAAACAAGGAATCCCAGGATAACCATCGTGATTTCAAACTGCGTTAATTCAACAGTGTAGATGTCTATCTCCTCAGTGAAAAACCCGTTCTGCGATGGAGACTTATCGCGCTTTAGCCAAAGGTTCCAGATCTCCTTCGCGTTAAGGTTCGGGAATAATCCGAAACGCTAATTTAACTCGGGAATTAGTATAATTCTATAATTCCCAATTTCAAAGCCACAACAAAAACAACAACAGCTCAAGGCGACGGGATCCTGGGATTTGTAGCTTTCCAAGCTTCTTCGGCAGAGAAGACTACAGACCTTTTCAAGCTACAATTCTTAGGATCCCACAGCATTGATCTAACCAACGTGTGCCAGTTTAAAGAGGTGTCAAACCGCATTAATTCTACAGAGTAGATGCCCCAAAACGCCAAGTCTCTCTCTCTTTGAGCCGATTTGTTTCCAAAGTCATCAAGCGACGCTTCTTTTCTGTCTTCCTTTTTCTCCCCAGAAAACAACCAAAAAAAAATATTTTTTAGGGGGAAAAAATAATATTTATAGTTTTTCCTAGGTCTTATGGATGTCAGTCAGCAGGATAATAGTTTCATTCTTTAGCTTGGCGTTGCTTCTTCCGTTAGTTTTTTTTTGAAGAAGTTGCTTTTCGATTTTACTTTCGTTTTCGGACCGCGAATTTCTAATCACGGAGTGGGGTGAGCTCCCATCTGTCAGCTCCAGCTTCCCACTGCTGGGACATGAGAGAAGCCTCCCACAGGATGGCAAAACATCCTGGCGTCCCCTGGGCAACGTCCTTGCAGACGGCCAATTCTCTCACACCAGAAGCGACTTGCAGTTTTCTCAAGTCGCTCCTGGCACACAATAAATACATACCGCTCCCAATGTACCATATAGTATTTTTGAAAATTATATTTATTTAATTCCTTTAAAAAACCTTTTTAAGAGCATACTTTTCGGCGTCGTTCTTTTCAAAAGTGGCCCTGGAATTAAAACAAACGAGTCTTGATTCGTTCCTTCTTTTTTCCCTCCTCTCTTTCATCCTTTACAATCAAAGGGAAGATCATCCAGATATTTCAGCACAATTAAGGCGTGTGTTGTTGTAGGTTTTTTCGGGCTGTATGGCCATGGTCTAGAGGCATTCTCTCCTGACGTTTCGCCTGCACTGCAGTGCAGGCGAAACGTCAGGAGAGAATGCCTCTAGACCATGGCCATACAGCCCGAAAAAACCTACAACAACCCAGTGATCCCGGCCATGAAAGCCTTCGACAATTAAGGCGTGTGTTTGGACTGATTTCCTCTCCTAAATGGCAGGTTCTCAAACGTCAGATTCTTAATAGAGAAAGCTTTGTCGAGAAATCCATTTGACATGAATTTCCTCGGGATAGTTTTTTCTTTCTTTCTTTCTCCATCGAATCTATTTTTCCTAAAAGAGCGGTCAAGATTTAAAAGGGAATTAAAGACTTATCTCTCTGCCTTTCCCAGCCCTTTTTAAACAGAGAATTTTAATTTAGATTTCATGGATATAAATGATTTTAATCTTAGGTATAGAACAACAACAACAAAACAACAACAATAACAACTATAATATTATAATATAATAGTTGTTGTTGTTGTTATATACCTAAGATTAAAATCATTCATATCCATGAAATCTAAATAAAAATTCCATATAATATAACATAATATAACATTATATTATATTATATTATATTATATTATATTATATTATATTATATTATATTATGTTATGTTATGTTATGTTATGTTATGTTATATTATATTATATTATATTATATTATATTATATTATATTATATTATATTATATTATGTTATATTATATTATAATATTATTATAGTTGTTATTGTTGTTGTTTTGTTGTTGTTGTTGTTATATACCTAAGATTATATTATATTATATTATATTAACCGCTAAGCTGCTGAACTTGCTGACTGAAAGGTCTGAGGTTTGTACTTGGGGAGAGGGGTGAGCTCCCGTTGTTAGCCCCAGCTTCTGCCAAACATGCAACTAGGCTCTTCGGCTTATAAATGGAAATGAGCATCAACCCCCCCCCCCCGAGTCAGACACTAGACTTAATGTCAGGGGGAAAACCTTTACCTAATATAATACAATATAATATAATAATATGTATTCGGTTGGAGTTACACTTTGAAAATGTGCCTGTTCCGACTTACGAACAACTTAAGGAGAATCCTCCAGAACCGACCTCGTTCGTAACTTCGTAATATTACATTTATAATAATGTAATATTATATCATGTTAACTGCTGAGTTGCTGACTAAAAGATCTGAGGTTTGAATCTGGGGAGAAGGGTGAGCTCCCGCTGTTAGCTCCGGCTTCTGCCAGCCTAGCAGTTCGAAAACATGCAAATAGGCTCTTGGCTTAGAAATGGGGAGGAAAACCAACCCCCAGAGTCAGACACGACTAAACTTAATGTCAGAGGAAAAGCTTTACCTTTACATAATATTATAATATAATAAATATAATAAATATAATAAATATAATATAATATAATATAATATATAATATAATTATTATATTATATTATATTTTTAATCTATGCGTTTTAACTGTCTTCAGTACTTAGTGTTTCTTCTACCCTCGTTGTATCCTTTGAAGAGAGGCCAGTAACAAATACAATTGAGTGCTTGAACTCGCTTACTTCCGAGTAGACAGACTTGGACAGGCAGTCCCCAAGTTACGAACAAGATCGGTTCTGTAGGATTCTCCTTAAATTGGTTGAAAGTCGGAAAAGGTACATTTTCAAAGTGTAACTCGAACCAAATACACATATATCTTCTGACAGCAAAACAAACAGGGGTGTGCACCCTCTTCCCTATGCTATCCAAAACTTATATATATATTTCCAAAGTTTATATATACATACATATACAAAGCTCTCTCTCTATATATAGAGACATCCAAAGCTATATATATATGCTTTGGATAGCATAGGGAAGAGGGTTTGTTTTGCTGTCAGAAGATATATAGTGTTGAAGGCTTTCATGGCTGGAATCACTAGGTTCTTGTGGGTTTTTTCGGGCTATAGGGCCATGTTCTAGAGGCATTTCTCCTGACGTTTCGCCTGCATCTATGGCAAGCATCCTTGCCATAGATGCAGGCCATAGATGCAGGCGAAACGTCAGGAGAAATGCCTCTAGAACATGGCCCTATAGCCCGAAAAAACCCACAAGAACCTAGAAGATATATATATATTTGGTTGGAGTTGCACTTTGAAAATGTACCTGTTCCGACTTACAAACAACTTAAGGACAATCCTACAGAACCGGTCTCGTTCGTAACTTGGGGACTGCCTGTCCAAGTCTGTCTACATATATAAAAGCTTTGGATCGTATAGGGAAGAGGGTGAACCTCCCTGTGGTATTTGTTTTGCTGCCAGAAGATTTCTCCACCCTTTCTATCCGTGTAATTCTGTATTGTGAAAAATGTGGCTTGTGTGAATTGGATTGGGGATCAAGCTTCAGTGGAGACCCCTTTCCCCCATGTACATAACTTTCCCTTTCCCTTCCTTCCGAGGGGAAGACTTCTCTCCCTTCCTCCTGTCTCACCCCCTTCTTAACTAAGAGCCCTTGGTAAGTCGGGACTGCCTGTATTGCTAGGTTTGCTGGGTGTTTCTGCCTGTGTCATGGTTCCTCTCCGCTTTGGCCCCCTATTTGCATCCAGACCAAGGCTCGATCCTGCTGGACAAGGACGGGAAGAGGAAGCACACGCGGCCCACCTTCTCCGGCCAGCAGATCTTCGCCCTGGAGAAGACCTTCGAGCAGACCAAGTACTTGGCCGGGCCGGAGCGCGCCAGGCTGGCCTACTCGCTCGGCATGACCGAGAGCCAGGTCAAGGTGAGCGCCGCGCCCGGGTGGCCTCGCGGGGAGCCTGGCCTTCAGGAGGAGAGCAAGGGACCCCGGGGAGGGGAGCCTTCAGAGATGCGCTTTGCATCCCGTCAAGAAGAGGAGGAGGAGGAGGAGGAGGAGGGCACCTTTCCTTCTCCCTGTGGTTCTTGCGCAAATTTGGAAAAACCCCTAGGAACTTTTAAAGGAACGAATTCCCTGTAGTAGCAGTAGCAACAGCAGCAGCAATAATAATAATAATAATAATAACAACAACAACAACAACAATAACAATCATATAGTGTTTATTGTTGTTGTTGTAATTCCCGGATAATAGTAGTAATAGTGATAATAATCTTATTGTTGTTGTAATTCCCTATAATAGTAATAATAATAATGGTTGTTATAATTCCTAATAATAATAATAATAATAATAATAATGGTTGTTGTAATTCCCTATGATAGTAGTAGTAGTAATAGTAGTAATAATGTTCGTTATTGTTTTTGTAATTCCCTATAATCTTTATTATTGTTGTTGTAATTCCCTATAATAGTAGTAACAATAATAATAATAATGTTCATTGTTGTTTTTTTTAATTCTCTATAATAGTAATAATAATAATAATGTTTATTGTTGTAGTAATTCCCTATAGTAGTAGTAGTAACAATAATAATAATTCTGTATAATAATAGTAGATCTTTATTATTGTTGTAATTCCCTATAGTAGCAGTAACAATAACAATAATGTTTGTTATTGTTGTAATTCCCTATAGTAGTAGTAACAATAACAATAATGTTTGTTGCTGTTGTAATTCCCGTAGCAGTAATAGTAATAGTAATAATGTTTGTTATTGTTGTTGTAATTCCCTATAATAGTAGTCGTAATAATAATGATTATTATTGTTTTTGTAATTCCCTATTATAGTAGTAGTAGTAATAATAGTGATAATAATAATACTTGTTGTTGTTGCAATTACCTATAGTAGAAGTAGTAGTAGTAGTATGTGACCCATACTGGGCAGACCCACACCAGATCTGCCAAAATGGATTATTGGTCTGATTTTGTTAAGGTCTCTGTGTATTAGTGTCCTGCTCATTTGAACATTTGAGATGCCTTCAATCCAAGTTAAGTGGTCAATGTAGATGTGTCCAATGTATATATCAGCTCTGCCCCTGTGTCATCCATTCAAAATATAACCTTATGGTGGGCTAAATATAGTTTTCTGTTCTTCTTAGGCCCCTTGTACATTGCCATATAATCAAGATTATCTGCTTTGATCTGGAATATATGAGTCTACACCGCCATATAATCCAGTTCAAAGCAGATAATCTGGGTTTTATATGGCAGCATAGAAGAGGCCCCAGAGGAGGTCCATTGAAACAACAAGATTTACCCAATTATTGACTTAGCCCTGTTTTTATTTACAGTGCCACAAGGTCCCTTTACATGTGGATCCACTCTGCTTTGTCTTATTTATGTGTTTGACAACAAGACATAAACATTTTGATGATGATAATATAAATTGGCCCACTGCTGTTTATATCATATATGTGTGTAATACATACGCATGGACAGTTTGTGTGTGTGTTGGTATACTACATGCATAAACACAGTGTGTGTGTATGTGCACCTGCCTGTGTACACACACCCCTGCACTGGTGTGTGTGTATATATATATATAGTTCATATATATGTATATAAACACACATTATATATACATATATACCAATATAGAAAGAAAGATAAATAGATCAGTGAAGGTGCGCATGTGTGCATCAAGGTCTACACTGGTATATGCATATATAAAGTTCATATATATGTATATAAACACACATTATATACATATATGCCAATTCATTCATATACACACACAAACACACATTTACATATACATACAAATATATATAAGTGAAGGTATGTATGTGTGTGTACATATGCATATATAAAGCTTTGGTAAAGTTCTACACTGGTATATATGTATATAAACACACACTATATACATATATACCAATTCATCTATACACACACATATATCAGTGAAGGTATGTGTGTGTGTAATCTATATTATAATAATGCATTATTTATAGCCCACCCTATCTTTCCAAAGGGACATATGTGTGTGTGTATATATATGCACACATACATAAATACACATTCACTTATGCTGGATACACACACGCCCCTCACACACACAAATAAGACACAATTTTGTGATTGTATTATTTTTCCCCCAAAATAAGACCATATAATTGTCCTTCTTTAGGGGTCCCTTTCAAATCTATGATACTATAGCTCTGTGTGAATCATCTATCTATCTATCATCTATCTATCTATCTATCTATCTATCTATCTATCTATCTATCTATCATCTATCTATCTATCTATCTATGGCTGGATGGCTCTTTGTCAGGAGGGCTTTGATTAGGTTTTCTTGCCCTTGTGAAGGGAGTTGGATTGGATGGCTTTAAGTATTTTCTGTTGGTCATGGGGGTTCTGTGTGGGAAGTTTGCCCCAATTCTGTCGTTCGTGGGGTTCAGAATGCTCTTTGATTGTAGGTGAACTATAAATTCCAGTAACTACAACTCCCAAATGTCAAGGTCTATTTCCCCCAAACTTCATCTGTATTCATATTTGGGCATATGGAGTATCTGTGCCAAGTTTGGTCCAGATCCATCATTGTTTGAGTCCACAGCACTCTCTGGATGTAGGTGAACTACAACTCCCAAACTCAAGGTCAATGCTCACCAAACCCTTCCAGTATTTTCTGTTGGTCATGGGAGAACTGTGTGCCAAGTTTGGTTCAGTTCCATCGTTGGTGGGGTACAGAATGCTCTTTGATTGTAGGTGAACTATAAATCCCAGCAACTACAACTCCCAAATGACAAAATCAATTTTTTGAGTGAAGGACATATATTGGGTTGTTAGGTGTATCGTGTCCAAATTTGGTGTCAATTCGTCCAGTGGTTTTTGAGTTCTGTGAATACCACAAACGAACATTACATTTTTATTTAGATAGATAGATAGATAGATAGATAGATAGATAGATAGATAGATAGATAGATAGATAGATAGATAGATAGAAGATATAGAATAGATAGATGACTCGAGGCTAAGCGACCTCTTTAACGGTCCCAATCAGCAACAATTGTCAAAAGAAGCCTGGTGTAGACTCGATGCCTGATCTTGAGCGCGTTTCTTTGTGCGTTTGATTGCTAAGGGAGCATCCACACTGTAGAATTAATGCGGTTTGAGACTACTTTAACCGCCAGGGCTCAAGGCCATGGAACCTTGAGGTTTGCTGCTTGGTGTGACACAGGAGTCTTTGGCAGAGAAAGTTAAAATACTTGCAAAACTACAACTTTCATGATTTCATATGGGGATTATTGGGGAGAGGGTGTATCTATTTCCCCCTCTCCTTTCCAAAGGGGAAACCCTCCAGAGGGTCTGTATCCTTAAAGGGGGAGACCTTCAAAGACCCCCCCCCCGCCCCACTCCTGTTAGAGATAGTGTCCTTATCTGGAGACCCTCATTTGTCACTGGAAAGAGAAAGGCGGTGTAAAAGGAAGGGGGCGGCTTGGTATCATAATAGGAAAACAAGAGACCTGGGTTGCAGCGGGGAGAGAGAGGGGAGAAAGAAGGTCTTCTTCTTCTTCTTCTTCTTCTTCTTCTTCTTCTTCTTCTTCTTCTTCTTCTTCTTCTTCTTCTTCTTCTTCTCCTTTCTCCTTCTCCTCCTCCTCCTCCTCCTCCTCCTCCTCCTCCTCCTCCTCCTCCTCCTCCTCCTCCTCTCCTCCTCCTCCTCCTCCTCCTCCTCCTCCTCCTCCTTCCTGTTAAGACCCCTCTTCTTCACGTCCGAACCGGACTGTCTAGACACGGGAGTGAGGGGCGGCGGGGCTAATTGGGTCGGGTCCCTATTTAGTTCAGGGGTAGAGTCGCCCACCAGGATCGATGAACCGACATTAGTCGGAAAATTGTGGGGCAGGCGGCAAAGGAGAGCGGGAGAATGAGGGCTGCGATGGGGAGGAGGAGGAAGAGGAGGAGGAGGAGGACAGTCCTTTGAGATACACTTACTTGGGAATATTTCATTTAAAATATTTAATATCCCAGGCTGCATTATGATGTACGCTTACTTGGAAATATGTTGTTGTTGTGATAATAATAACGATGCATTCCCAAGTAAATGTATATAAAAGTACAATCTAAAATCCTCCTCCTCCTCCTCCTCCTCCTCCTCCTCCTCCTCCTGTTGCTTCTCCTTTTCCCCCTCCTCCTCCTCTTCTTTCTGTTGCTTCACTTTTTCCTCCTCGTCGTCTTTCCGTTACTTTTCCTTTTCCTCTTCTTCCTCCTCCTCCTCGTCCTTCTCCTGCTCCTCCTCTTCTTCCTGTTGCTTCTCTTTTTCTTCCTCCTCTTCTTCTTTCTGTTACTTTTACTTTTCCTCTTCCTCCTCCTCGGCTTCTCCTTTTCCCCCTCCTCCTCTTCTTTTTCCTCCTCCTGCTCCTCTTCTTCTTCCTGTTGATTCTCTTTTTCCTCCTCCATCTCATCTTTTCCCTTACTTGTCCTCCTCCTCCTCCTCCTCTCCTCCTCCTCCTCCTCCTCTTCTCTTCCTCTTCTTCTCCTCCTCCTCCTCTTCTCTTCCTCCTTTCTTCTCCTTCCTGTTGCTTCTCCTTTTCCTCGTCTTCTTCTTCCTTCTCCTCCTTCTCCTCCTCTTGTTGCTTCTCCTTTTCCTCCTCCACTTCTTCTTCCTCCTGTTGCTCCTCCTCTTCTTCTTCTTCCTGTTGCCTCTGCTTTTCCTCTTCTTCTTTCTTCTTCTTCCTCTTCTTCTTCCTCTTGTTGCTTCTCCTTTTCGTTTTCCTCTTCCTCCTCCTCTTCTTCTTCCTCCTCCTCCTCCTCCTCCGCCTCCGCCTCCTCTTCTTCTTATTGCTTACCCTTTCCTCCTCTTCCTCTTCTTCTTCCTCCTGTTGCTTCTCCTCCTCCTTTTCTTCCTATTGCTTTTCCTTTTTCCTCATCTTCTTC